CTGCGTTAGCTGCTGCTGCTGGCCGGCCTGCTGCATGGCATAGGCCTGTTGCTGCTGCGCCATTTGATTGGGATGCATGGCAACTTGCGGCGCCGGTTGTTGCTGCTGCTGTTGCTGGTAATATTGCTGCGCCTGCTGCTGAGCCATTTGCTGCTGTTGTGCCAGTTCCGGCGGTTGAACGTTTGTATGCATCAATTGTTGCAACTGCTGCTGCAGCGGGATCTGATGACTCTTTTGCTGATCGTTCAGAGGCTGTTGATTTGGCTGCTCGTGTTGCTGCGGCTGCAGGACAGCTTGTGGCTGTTGCTGCACCTGAATTTGCTGCGGCATTTGCTGGAGTATCTGTTGCTGCTGCTGGGGGTTGACTTGTTGCTGTGGCACCATTGTAACATTTGGTTGCTGCTGTTGCGGCGGCGGCTGTTGCTGCTGCTGAATCTGTTGGCCTCCTGTGGGCGAGATGACCTGATTGTTGGGTATCTCCTGCGAGTTTTGATACGATGCCAGCTGGGGCGGCTGAATATAATGCACCGTGGGCTTTTGTTGCATCGGAATGGCCGGCGAGGCGATAACCTGTGGCTGTACCGAAATCAACTGCACCGGGTTGCCGCTGTTCGGGATGGAGGCATTCGAACGTGATGGATGAATCTGAGGATCGGCACTGTTCGTGGAGAGGGCCAGACTGGTCTCGGAATCGGTGTTCAAGAGGTCATACTTTAGCTGCAAGCGCTGGTTCCACTTTACCCCATCTTCCTCATCTTCGGACTCCTCCTCCTCTTCCTCATCTTCGTCAACGTTCGTTGGCAGGCTCTCGCGTTGCTTCTGCAGTGCCAACTTCTCTAGTCTGGACTTCTCGTTCTGCAGTTTAATCTGGGTCTGGCGCTGGGCGCGCTCCTTCAGCAAGGATACGACCTGCACCTTTAGAAGACGAGCTACGGCACGAGAATCGTCCTCGGATATAATGTTTTCCTTCATCATCTCCTGAGCGATCTGCTCGTACTCGTCATGTTTTATGTTATACTCGAACTGGATCGCCTCATTCTCTTTGTGTCTCGACGATCTTTTCTTGGGGTCCATGAAGCGCAGCCGAAACTCTATAATGCTAATGCTTGGATCGGAAAGAAACTGCTCCGAAGCGGTAGGCTCTACGCGGATGCCGATATCCTCGTCGAAGAACTCAGACTCCAGAAGCTCATTGCAGCTGGGCCGGTCCTCCTTTTTCAATTCAATGCATCTTTCAATGATGTCGCGCACATTAGGATCTTCGACTTTGGCCAGCGCTGCTGGCTTGATGCCCGATATGACCTTCTTGTAGATCTGTGCCGGACCTTTGCACTCGCTGTACGGATACTCAGAGATGGCCATCTCCAACATGCACATCCCGAAGGCATATACGTCCACCGATTCGTCGTAGTGCTCCTCGTACATCTCGGGAGCCATGAACTCCGGCGTTCCAATCACAGATTTCGCGTGGGAGCGGTTCTTCAGCGTCGCCAGGCCCAGATCGCCGATCTTAACGCTGCCCGTGGTGCCAGTTATAAAAATATTATCACATTTCAAATCACGATGAATTATAGGAAATTGACGAGTATGCAGAAAATTGAGGCCCTTCAAAATCTGACGACACCATGACTTCAATACCTTTGGGTGTATCTTCTTAAATCGTTTCAAATAGCTGCAAATATTAAATATTTAGATATCTCTTTAAAAGTTTATATATTTTTTTGTTGTTCTTACGATTTCAAAGTTCCAGATAACATTAGTTCGGTGACTAGTACTATATTCTTTTTACGGCCAATGGGAAACTCCCAATATGTATAAAACCGTACAATATTAGGATGCTGAAGCTTCTTCAGCATGTCTGCCTCCTCGCGGAATCTGGTGCGTTCGCTTTTCTTCACTTGCTTGTCCTGTAATTAAAAAAAAATGTATAATTTTATAATAAAAGTGGTCAAAATATTCTTACCAGCAATTCACACCACGCAACTGGAACACCCGTCAACGTGTCCAGGCCACGATAGACAGTCTTGAAGGAGCCACGGCCCACTTCCTTGTCGTACTTAAAAAAGCGTCCGCAAGGCGACATGGCCACCGGATCATCATCTTCATCGCTCTTGCTCTTTGTTATCGAGGTAGCCGACGAGGTGGTGGACACAGCCGCTGTGGAGGGCTGCTGTGAAGAGGAAGCGTCAGCGGAGGAGCCAGTGGCAGACGCCTCCTCAGCGCTGACCTCAGCACTCTCCGATTTCTTAACTGTGGCATCGATGCTCTTTGGCTGCTTTTCACTTTGGACCTCGGTATCGTCCTTTTCCTCGACCTGGAAACCGACGCGCTTAACGCCGCTCGAATGCTTCGTAGATGACCTCAATGGCACTTCGTCTTCAATCTTTTCGATTGGCAGACTTCGCGACGCCTCGATGATAATGTTCTCAATGATGCCGGACACCTGATGGGCGGCAACATCGGTGGCATTAGAACGCGTGGGCGTGCGAAATTGCTCCTCCAGATGCTCCGCCTCGCGGGACAGCGTCTCGATGTTGTCATCATAGTCACGGGGAAACTCCGTCTCCAGCTCGACGAACTGAAGCGGATTTGTGTTCCTGCCGGACTGCTCCACATTCTTGCGCACGAACCGAATGTTTTGCACAAAGTTTGCTGTCAACGTTGTGGGCGTGGTCTTGGAGGAGTGGAGCGGAGCCTGCTGCTTAATCAGCGGCTCGATCACCGTGTCCGAGGAGGACTTCCTGGCCTCCATTTTCTTGGTGTCAGCGACGACCGCTTGCGGGGCGCCCGACTTGTCTTTTTTGGAACTAGCCGCAACTACACCAGCTGATTTCTGGCTGTTTGCGGCATCTTCTGACTCAGATTTGCCGTCCATTTTGTCCTCATGGTTATCCTGGGAGCCCAGTACCTCTACATCGATCAATGGATCCGGTTTGTTTAGATCGCCGTTGTTGTTCTCGTTGATCGGTTCGTTTTTAGGAACGTTGCTAGCCTTTCCAGAAAGGGAGTTAGTCGAAAAGCGTCTTAATACACGCACAAATAGGTTGCTTCTGCTGGAAGCCGATGTGGTCGGTGAGGTGTGTAGCGTGGGCAGAGAGGAAGCTGGCTCGATGGGATGCGAGTGGATCGATGTGCTGGTGCTGGTGCTGCTGGTGCTTGTCTGCGCGGAAAGTGCGTCCTGCTTGCGATTGCGATTGCGATTGGGCCTTCTGCTCAGTGTGTCTTTTAGTTTTGATGATGTCGGGTTCGGACTTTGCCTAGAGGAGGCAGACCTATTAAACGAGCGGGGTCCCGGCTTTTGTATTTTAGCTCCCTGCACAGTTTGCTCCTCGCTAGAAATAGAGGTATTCCTAAAAATAAATAATCGTTTATCAAAATTGGTTAGAAAAGCCTATATATTATGTATTTCAGCGGAATATTGTAGTGGGTTTCTACGGCTCTTATGACTTGTTTATTCTCATTTATACATAAAAAGTATTATTTATTTATTTGTTACTTCCCATTGAGTTTACGACTAACTTAAGTTAACGTTAATTGCGAGTTTAACACTGTTTATAAATAAACTAAATCACAACAGTAATAATACCTTTGAGGTTGCGTGGTGCAGGAGGTAGTACCATCTTCGCTGATGGCGCTTCCCTTCCGAGCACGGTTCGAAGGTACGACCTCTTGTTGTCGTACAAAGTCGCAAAGGGTTTGTCCAATTTTGCAGGATTTTCAGCGGCAGACCAGCACGTTTAATCTTAACACGAAGAGGAAGAAATACGTATAACTAGATGAGTAATGGCAAGAAAATCAAAACCAAGAACAAGTCCCAGTCCAGATGCGTCAGTTGCGTTCAGCTCCATCTCGTTCCAACTCCCAATACGAATGAGGGGAAACCGGCCGTGTTTATTTGGCAGGGAAAGTATGGAAGTGGGAGGCGGTTGTCGATATGGGTGACAATGATATGGTGATATGGTGGGGGGTGGCACTTGCCACCCACTGCTGTTTGTTGCTGGGTGCCAGACACTATAGGCACATATGTGCGAGCACATATATGTATATAATTACGGATATAACCGCCGTCTGAAATATCGCTTACAGCTGGCTGGCTCCTTGAGGTTGAGGTGTATGCTTTCCATGAATCATAAGTTTCGATTGCACTTGTTCTGTGCTATGTACTGGGTCGTATGTATGTGCGTATGTCAGTGCGGTACGTTCTTGATACATATGTACGTACTTAAGTACATTTAATTTCGGGACAGGCAGGCAGGAAGCATATGCGGCTATGATGTCATTGTCGAGGGATCTCCGCCCAGCTGCTCCTCCTCCAAAACCGAAACAGAAACCGAAAATTCGGACAAACTGCGATGGTTGCGACTGCGATTTGGGGAGTTGGGTGTTAAACGGTTCAGCAGGTTTTCATATTACTGCACGGGGGATTTGCTTGGCGTCCGGCGGAATTGCTAGCTTCCACGGGGACGGTCGGTTGCATTGGACGCGGCGATAAGGAGTCAGCGAAAGATTGAGTATTTCGTCTAAAATTCCATTTACTTTCACAAAAATTTTACTGGTGTTTGTGGCGTATCGATATCGCTTTATTGTTACACAATGGGCTATCGATAGCTGCAATCGCACGCCCTAGGAAGATTGTGGCCCAGATGGTGTCATCTCTTCTTCATTCACTATTACCGGGGGCCTGGTTCTATTTTGGCGCTATTTTGAATGGTCATACTATTTTTAATTTAAAAAAATGGTTTTCTTTTCTTATTAGCGCTATTATTTATTTACTTACCTATAAAATAGTGTCTTGTATGAAATCTTGTATTAGTAAAATTTATACCATGTTTGTTTCAATAAAAGACCATTTTGCGATTCATAATTTTATTATTAATATAATATAAATAAATTAACTTACTTCTCACGTGGTTTTTGCGAGAATTAACAGCTATAAGCACTACAAATGTGTATAGATTTGATTAGATCACTCATATTTCAAATTTATAGGAAACCGAGCACGATTCCATTTTCCAACATTAGTTACATTTTGTCCATAGACCAATATAACTTTTATAAAACCCTTTTTTACACCATTGCCAGGGAGCGAATTCGTGCGCATTTAGAGACTATAATTAGGCTTTGAAAATCTTATAACTGCTATAATAAATTTAATTAATTTAATGATTTCCTTGGATTCCTCTTCATGTGCAGGAGCCTTTACTTTTGATCGTCACACCTAAAGCAAAACAAAAATTAGTTTCACCTTTAAAGAAAGTTATTTTTAAGGAATTACTTACTTATATTAAGACATGATGAGTAACACTGGAGCTGTGTTTCTCCCGTGTACATGTATCCATCGGATCCACAGATTATTTCATCGTTTTCGTCATAAACATTAGCACAGATCTTTTCACAGTAACTTTCTGTGTCCTTTGAAGAATCCTGTGCAGATGTACTCGTCACGGTTGGAATCTGTGGTGCCTCAGGCTAAAAATAATTGACACGCAAAATCATAAATATTAATAAACTTATAATTATTAAATATTATTTAAAGATTTCTATCCTACCTGCTTTACAATTTCAGTGTCGGCACTATCCTCTGGATCATCGCTGAATTCCTTGATGGGCTTGGCCACATCCAGGATCGGTGTTGCGGTCTTGGCTGGCTCACGAGGTGTTTGGGCCACGGTTTCATAGTAGTAGGTATTGCCTTGTGGAGACTTTGTGTACTTCATGGATCCCCGGATTGCATCTTGCTCTGTGAACTCAAATCTCAGAGGCTCTGGCGTGTAGCTCTTGTGACTCTTGGTCAGGTGATGGCTTTTTGGCGGAGTTTGTGTCGAGGCTTGCACTGACATGGGCGTGGATACAACATGCTTCACCGCCTTGTTGCCATCTGACTTGACCACAAACACATCCTGGCCGGCTTGGTAGCTGCCGCGCACAACAGCGGAATTCGCAGGGGCGGGATCTTGTTGGTAGAACAGATCGGAAACTTGTATGGGCTCATTGTAACTGGAGGAGACCGAGTTGTCTGGGCCAGAAGCGGTCTTGTAGTGAAGATGTTGGTGCAGGGGCTGATGCTGGTGTTGCTGCGGTAGCTGATGTTGCTGGGGTTGCTGTGGTAGCTGATGTTGCTGTGGTTGCTGAAGTTGCAACGGCTGATGCTGGTGGTGATGCTGCAACAGTGGTTGCTGTTGCTGCAACGGTGTGTGTTGGTGCTGAAGTGGATATTGATTTAGTTGCTTCTGCTGATCATGCTCGGCATCAAGTTTTTTGTAATCCGGATCTCTCTTGGGCAAAAAATACTCATTTGTGCCCATGAAGTGTAAGTATTCCTGAGCTTCCTTTGATTCCTTGGCAGGTGGTATCGCCTGGCGATAGTTTACAGCCGCCTGGTTGGTTAATGGTTTCTGTTGATTTTCGGACTCTTCGTGGACTGAGTAACTACTCTGGTCCTGCTGGAACTGTGGATTTTGGAGAGCCGTCTGCTGGGAGGGCACAATGTTAAAATTGGGACCCTGTTGCCCAAAAAGCTTGGGGTAATGCAGATATTGAGAAGCTTGAACAGGAATAGCATGCTGCTGGATGGGCGCGTAGACTGGTTTATGATCCTTCATAATCACATTGCCGTTAAATCGAGGGGAGGCCTTGAAATTTTGTAGGTACTGCTCAGAAACGTATTGCGGAAACTGATTCTTTCCTACATCTAAGACGGGAGCATCCTTTACGTGAGCAAACCTTGTAGGCTGATTCTGATCGAACTGGTACCTCCTGTGCTGATCGTTTGAAGGATAATTGCCGAACTGCTCGCGTCGCATAATATGTTGTACTGTGGCAGGCTGTTGGGAACGCAGAGGGAAGTCCTTGGGATGTTTGTGGGGCGAGATCGAGAGCAGGGGTAAGCTATCCGACCGCGAACGAATCCTGGCAGCTTGCAATAGTCCTGGCGGAGGCACGGGTCCCTGCCTATTATGACCGAAATGAGGTTCATTCAAAAATTGCATTAAACGCGCACTCCTTGGATCGTATTCACTGTCGAGGCACTGTACTCCAATAAATAAGGTGAGTATCACCAAAAGAGGTGTTAATTTATAAATGGGAGACATTTTATTTTCTTTTCTATGTTCTTGTTCGAGTGGCGCGGATAATACTAGGTGTTTAAATCCGTTTTTGGTAACAGGCGACGACGCGACGCGTCTTAATTCCTCGACGGTCTATTGGTATTTAACATTTGTCAGTTCCGCGGTGGCCAAAAGCAAAAAGTTTCTTTCAAATCTTCTTTTTCTTCTTTCGCCACGATCTCGCGGACTTGATCTCACTTTCTTTGTTATCTCGCCAGTCGTTTAAAACACAAAAAAAATGGAACGTCTCGCGGCAATGCAGCCAAAGTTATAGCCACAGATACAGATACAGATACAGCTATGGTTAAAGCTAAAAGCTAAGGCCTCGTTGCAGCCATTTATTTAAAACATTTTGTCAGAGCTTGTTGTTTAAAGTTTGAAGAACCGTTAATCAATCGAGACCCTCGGATACGATCCGATCCGATCACTTTCTTCTCGAAATTCGGCGGAGTCTTGGTCGGTTGGAAAGCAACTGAGAGTTGCAAATGGAACGTTTCTGAGCCAGCTGTGGCTCAGTACTGATACTGGTATTCCATACCATTCCGTAAACCAGTTTTCATAAGACTCTGCCCCAGAGGAAATGTGGATGTGGTGGCCTAACCTGGCCTGGCTTGGCCCAACTCGGCCAGGTGATCACATCACATGCCAAGATGAAGAAGCTGGCTCTGGCTCGGGCTCGGGCTCGGGCTGGAATGGAATCTATCTGTGGCAAGAGGCACAGTGGTATTGTCGCAGAAGTGCCGGACAATCGCTTGATCTATTGGGCAGATTTATTTTTTAATTTGTTTATCTTAAGTGCAGGTGAAAGTAAATTCCGGCTAGACAAAAACAACTAATTTTGGAAAACCTAAATGTAATTTGAGATCTTCGGTACACAAAAAACAAACGACCCAAAAAAACAGATTCTGGAGATAAGAAAAATCCAAGCTTGTTTTTAAAAAAGATTTCCTAAGAATGATAAGTAATAGTACCACTTTTTAAAACCTAGTCTCTAGGTTAAATATAATTTAATTTTTTCCAGTGCCCTTCCCTTTAAAGCTCAACGATTAATTGGTTCATACAGAATTCCAGATGCTTGTCAAAAATTCCGAGTTTATTTACCTTTTGGTTTTATCTTTGAAAAAAAAAGTGAAAATTTATTATAATTATAGACACAACTAATGGGTACAACTTTCGCTTTTGTCGTTAATTTGGCATTGCTTTTCCTTTGAGAGAACAAGCTATAAGAAAACGATAATTTCGATTATTGTTATGCAAAATGTTGGAAACCGTAAACCCAGGTTTATGCATTCATTCATAAAAGCCCTGTTAGTTTTTTGTTTTTTGAATAACTTTACCTCATCAGGTCGATATTCTTTTTGCCTCTGAGTATTTCAAGAAAAACCAGAAAGCTTCCCGTTTCGAAATAATATATTCCGTTGCTTACAAAATTCATAAAATGCTTTTATTTAATAAAAATGAGGAGAGGTCTTAATGTAATCTCTACTTTGGCTAAAAAAACTCATCCAATCGTTGTCCTTAAATGCAAGTTTCCTCGTTTTCTATCCAGATATCGTTAGACACTTTTGATTCCTCACAAACAGGATTCCTGGCAATGGAGTTATTTTCCAGAACGATGACTATGTCGGTTGTGCTTAGAACTGTCGAATCCAAAGTCTGCAAAATAAATTTATTCAATTTTAGTCTCGCTTGCTAAACCTAGACATCTTACACCTCTTTATCTGTGTCACTTAACCTTAAGAAAAGTTCAGTTCCCCGGTGGGAAAACATGTAAACAAAGACAAATCAATCTTAAACAAGGATACTACTTATACAAAAGCGAAAACCAATGTTAAGCCTGGGGAATTAGAAAGTTTGACCGACTGAAATAACTTTTTAATTTGATTTATTGACTCGCAGAGCTTTGAACTAAAGGAGCCAAGTTTGATAGAAGCATTCAATTTATTGCTCTTCCTTGAAATTGATTAGAATTTATGTTGAAATGTTGTATTTAATATGTGTTCCTTACCTTTGGAAGTGGAAGACTGTAGGTTTTTTTGATTAATACTCTGTTTTGAGATGGACTGTCTTTTTCCTTAATAATATTTGGCTGCCGGCTTGCTCGAACATGGACCTGGAAAGGGTTTAATGGAAATTAGAGGATGAATTGTTATTGAATTATTATAGTTTACCGAGTGAACTCTATCATAGTTGATGTGGTTGCCCATGCTTGTGGCGGTACTCTCCCGGAAACTGGAGTGGTCCCTGGCAAAACCACTGTTGTAATACGCTCCCACAGGTCTTCCACAAAGGAGTTCCCTAAATGCCACCCTATAGCGTCGCGACATCACGCTATATACTATCGGATTGATTGTGCTGAAATAGGTTTTAATTTTATTAAAAAATATAGAAAACAAACGTAAGTATTATTCACCATGAAACATAGTAGGCAAATCCTGCTATGGAGAATAACCATTCATTTACATTATAGTAATTTTCGTTGTTCTGGGCGTACAGAAACCAAAGTCGTTGGAGGTGAAACGGAAACCAGCATACAAAAAAGGTTATCACCACAGCGGCTATACTGATTAAATTGGTATATATTGTGGGTGTCCTTAAAGGGGTTTCTTGCCAATAGCTTACCCAACATTCGAATCACGGTCTTCTTCCTCATTTGTGAGTTTCGGGACTCTCGGTTTATGTTTCCATGTTGAACACCTAGGAAATCCACAATTAAAATTGTCATAATTTAGGTTTCTTCTGATAACTTACCCAATTTTTGATTAGTTCTGGATCGAATCTTGAGTCCCATTCTTCCATATAGTAATAGGATGAGTATCATGGGAATCACAAAGAATATGCAAAATGATAGTTCGAATATGGGAACCACATTCACAATTTCTGGTGACATGCTGCAGAAAGCCGATTCCGCAATAGTTGAATTATCTGAAAGAATTTTTCATAAATATTTTCCAAATAAAACAAAAAAGTTTTACTCTGGTTAACTTACCTAATGGATATGTTAAATATATAATATCCGACAAAACTCCAAAAGGTATTGCACTTATAAAACTGGCCACCCAAAGAAGGGCTATTATCCGAAGAGCCCGTTTAAAGCCAACCATGGCATACAAATGCAAAGGATGGCAAATGGCCAGAAATCTTTCCATGGAAAATGCCGCAATCGTAAATACCGAGACATAAGTACATCTGTAATTTAGTTTATGTTCTAGTATATGGTAATTAACGATTCTAAAAATAATATTTATACTAACGCTTCGGAAATAAAGGCGCGTATCTTGCAGAATGGCAGTCCGAACAGATATGGATACTGATGCCAAAATAAAAATACTTCCGTTGGGAGGCCTGTAGGGGGCACCAAATTTTGTTCAATTTCCTGTTAATTGCTTTTGTTTTTGAATTACTAACCCAGAAGTAAGTATAATAGGTCCGACACGGCTAAACTGAAGAGGTAATAGTTGGTAGCCGTGTGCATGGCGGAATGTCGAACAATTACAATACAAACTAATAGGTTTCCAATGATACCTGTTATAAAAATGCCTCCAAATATAATTGTTATCTGAAATTTTAATTAAGTCATGAAAGATAAAAGTTTTTGCTAAAAACTAAATCTTCTTAAAATTTTAAAGGCTTAAGTTTTTAATAATATCTTGAATTAATATTTTGTACTTACCAAAATCGCCTTCCATAGTTGCAAGGTTTGTGGACCAAGAACAAACTCCACAAATTCCGTGGGAGTACAATTAAAAGTACCACAAGCATACTCTGTCTCCGATTCATAGACCGGAAATGAACTTGTCCCGAAAGAATCGGAAATAATGCTGGAGTTTAGATCCAAAAATGATATTTCCGTGGTTGAGTTCATTTTGAAACCTAATTTTATCTTTTATTTGGTGGTTAGACTGTCTGGTAGTTTAGTTTTTTATAGACAGCCTCTAGAAAATGGTATAGCACAGCATGGCACACGACGATTTCCGTTAAAGTTTTATGGATCGAGAAAAAACCGTGGCGCGCGATCGGATGCCGCAGCCACCGTATCCGTATCTGTATCTTTTAGATGTTCGCAGATTACTGTGCGCAGTCTAGCGCTAAAAAGATAAGAAGGCATGGTTTTGGCTAAATTGTAAATAAATCTGTATACAGGCCTATATATATATATATAAACACTATGTATTTTGCTGTGCCTGTATGCAATTATATAGATATGGCTTCATGTTCATGCCACAGAATGAGTAATTTTGTTTTTGGCTTACGTCAAAAGCAACAAAATTTTAATCTTAAGTTATAGATAAGTAAGATCAAATGTTAAACAAATGCAGTTATCTCAATAAACGAATAGTCTGGGAATAAACCATATAAAATGCAATTTAACTTAAAGGAATTCCAACAAATATAGGCCTTATTTTATACAAAAAAAAAAAACTATATTCCATTGTTTTAAAGGAAACGAGGTGAAATAACTTGAAAGTAAACTTCAAAGAAGCATTCCAACCGCCCAGATATCTCTGCCTTTTGAACTACGATAATATTCAAACGCCGACAAGCATGAATTAATAAAACATCAAACTTACAATGGCCGGGTTCTTTGGCGTTGCCTTCCTGGGTAAAACAAAAAAAAAGAAACAAACAAAAGTTCCATGTACACATTTCAGCAAATTTTATTTAGTTTTATTTCCATAAAAGCTAATGTATCTGCATGGGTATCTTGGGAGCTTGTATATAATTTTTTTTGCCAGTATTTGAATAAGCAACTGATTATTATCTTATCAAGCGACACACGACTTGTGTGTTGGATAAACTAACTCATGAATACATAATATATTTTAGAGCAAAGTTCTGACAGTTTTGTTGTTCAGATTCCTACTGGCAATTTATTTATAGGGATTGCGCCTCAATTAAACCTCCAGCAGTGTGTCAAAGCTTCTTAATTTAAAATTTAAACCACAATTCAATTGACATCCAGAAGATTCGTATGAAATGTATGTATTGTTGCGGTTGAATATGCCGGCAGCAGCATCTTAGCCAGATTTATTAAGTTAATTGCATATGCCGAACAAAAGGCAGGTAGTTTGGGCCCGAACACAGATGTCTGCATGGCTGTGAATGTTTTTGGCAACGCAACCGAAATTTATCATTATTATGAATACCTGTCCCCTAGACAAACTTATGACAAAAACACCGAAAGTATGTAGCTTTCGGCTTAGCGAAGCAAACTATTTTACGCAATTGCCGACCCCAGCCGAGACTTTCCCAACCAAGTGTTTGTTTGTTCAGACGTGAATTTAATTTGACAGAATACATATGCACATAAATGTAATTAGGGAGCCCACTTGAGTTATGCCATATTCCGGAATAATAAACCTCGCAGGAGAATCGTTACGGGCAACCCATCCAAGAAACTACGTAAATCAGCGTTTTTGGGGTCCCTTTGCTTACACCTCCGGAGAGGTGCCTCGGGCACTCTTGAGACGTCACCCCGGCATCTGGCGGTCATTACGTCTGCTTAGTGACCAACCCCAACTCCAGAATAGTAAGATAGCCAGATAGCCCTCCGGTTACCACGTGCTGCTAATTAGCTCCGGAGACGTTCACCCGTAAGTTCGCTTAAGTATGCAGGCAGAAAATGTCAGGTGTCGCTTGACTTTGAATATATGTAGTACTTGTGTGTAGTTATGTAGGGACATCTGGATTTTCATATAAACTGGTGACAAGGCACTTGGTTTTATTGGCTTTATTGAGTGCAAACGGAGATGTGAATGAATAAGTAAGTGCTCGAATCTCAAGTGTTATAAATAATTGAAATAAAAGACAAGAAGTGAGAACTCAGTTACAGATGTAATTAAATTTTTGTTGAAATCGAATATGCATCTTTAAGATTATATTCACCTTAAGTAGCCGAAGTTTGTCGAACTACTTATAAGATATTTATATGTAGTGCCCGTATAAAAAGCTTTTATCGCTGCATACATAAATATTTACATGTGTAAACATTTACATCCATTGTGGCTATAAATCTGGGCATATCCTATTTACAATTCGTCGTATAAATAAGATTGCAGAGGCTTATAAAATTTACCTATTCACTTTTGTATGCAAACCGAATTCTTAAACCATTATTTACCCAGTATTAGGTCTGAGATGATCAGATTTTATATTACGTTCTTGCCACGCCCAGTCTCCGTCCAAAAAAGGTTTTTATTTATTTAGAATTAAGTATGCACTGCCAATTATTTTAATTTAATTTAATAAGCTTTTTAAGCTTAGATACTTTTTTAAATATTTTTGTGTATTATATTTAACAATGAATGAAGATTTTGAAAATGTTTGAAAAGTGGTTTGTAACTAAAAATAATTTATTACTGACAAGATCCTTTTAATATAACACAAGATTAATAGGCCAATGTTGTTGTCTTAATAATAAACAAGGCAATTAATAACACTTTCGTTAAGTGGTCCGTTTACATATGTTGAGAGCCCCCATCATTCAATCAATCATTTAAGATTGCCGTAATCTAACTAACTATTTATGTTGATACCCACACCTGTGGCAATTCCGAGTCCTTTCATTAATACTTGCCACTTTGCCGCTCTTAATTGCTTTCCTTTGAGACACGGAATTTCGTAATTAGTGCACTTTATTTTTGAATTCGAAACACAGGGATGTTGGCCAGCTGGATGCTTTGCCTTCGACAGGTGGAGAGCAACTGTTTGCATATGGCCCGTATGTCCTGACCAACTTGCGACCAAGCCAACTATGCCATTTCGACAGGTGAGTGCGCAGGCGTTGAAGCCGAACTTCGCGCCTCGCCAGTGGAATTTGATTATTGCATGTGGGAGCTAATTTTGGTTTTTACCTGTGGCTGGATGCCAAATCAATGTGCTTCTGAATCAGGTAAGACTAATAAGAATGCAAGCTTTCTCAATACACTCCGGCAGGGGTACACCAGCTGTTATGAAAATCTTACATATTAGACTTACTGATTGCATAAAAAAAAACTATTTCGAACCTTAAAACCAGCTTAATTTTTATAAAGATTATATTTTTCAAATAAATATATTATTATCATTAATATTATTAAAAGTAGTAAAATAATAGCACAGGATTTAAAAAGTTTTAAGTCAAAACATGTAGCATCACTTCCATTTCGAAAATAATTCAAAAAACATCAAAATACAAAAAAATAAAATAAATAAAAAAAAAAATAAAAATATATAAATAAACACTCAAGATGACCTCCATAATAATGGATGCCCCTATGGCTTCTGGGGTTGCTGAAGCCGTTCCAGTATGGAAGAAGGTGGACTGGAGCCCAGAAATAGAGCAGGGTATATACCGTGACTGGGGGTCGTACTACTCCCGGAGGCGCCGCGAAAATCTTGGAATGTACTATTTCGACAAGGCTATGCAGTTGGCTCCCAAAGATTATGTGACATTGTGGCTTAGAAGCCAGAGCCGGCGACGAAATGCTCTTCCCCGCCTGGCCCTCAGCGACAGTTTAGAAGCACAAAGTATGATTCAATATAGCTCTTTCGATTACAAATACAAAGTCTTTAATGCCTTATAGAAATTCTTAAAAACTTGAATCAGGATAATGCTCTTGTTAACCTGGAAGTTTGCGATGCTCTTTATGAGTTAAATGAGTTTGCGAAATCCAAAGCAGAACTGCACAACAATGCACGACTATTTACAGGGAATAAATCGAAAATATTTGAACGACGTCTGGGTGTGGTAAGATATCCTTAATTTTTGTATCTTTTGAGTTCTTTTTCTTTTTGATGAACAATATCTTAGGTCGACGATACTATTAACGATGCTTGTGGCCCGGCAATGACAGAGTTTTTGCGCGAAAATGAAGCGATTTGTCAATTTGTAAGGGAAAAGGAGAAGAAGGACTTGAAAGCTGCGGTGGATGTCCGCCCACTTTGGAAAATATTAAAGGAGCAGGAAAAATGCGACGTACTTAGCATTCCAGAAATGGATGTATGTCATTAAGTGACGCACATTTAAGATCTAAGATCGACAGTAATAATCCTTTTTTTTAGGAAGAATTATTATCCCCCCTTGAAGTTGCCAGGAGGGCCCGAGCTTTCGATGTGTTCAACCAGATGTTCCTAGACAGATCTTGGGTGGATGTGGTATTCCTTAGGCACATTCGAAGGTAAAAAAGTCTCATTTTTCTATGAAATATATTTTAACATTGATTATTAAAGGGATCCTGGTCTGCTTTTGGATCAGTGCAAAAATTCAAGCGAATTTCTAAGAACGACTACTAACAAAAAATACTCCGAAGTGAAAACATTTCTGGTTGGTTTCATATCTATATCTTACTATAAACGTTTCTGAAATTTTGAATTTTTTAGAAAATGCTCGAGGCACGATCCCCAATGTTTTATGTCCGTCATAAGAAGTTTACAAATCCCCAGTTAATGGAGAAATTTCGACAGGACTATCTATACCGCGTCCAGTATCAAACCCGACGAAATATGAATTCGGTGTTGAGAAGCATTAAGTTTCTTCGAAAAACCAATAACGTAGCGGTAAGAATACTATATTTTAAAACTTTTTTATTGGAATACTTAAATATTACTCTGTTCAGAAACTGGCGTCCTATGTTGAAGAAGTTATGGGTGATTATGTGGTCAAGAAAACGAATAGGACTATGCCATGGAAGTTTGAGTTCCTTAATGAGGTATACAATACGTTGGCCTTGGCCCATATGGATCAATTATGGGTTCCAAAAAATTTTCGATTTCAACAAAAGAACGCCCTGCTCTCCCTGCTTCATTTCCCCATGGACAAGGGTTTGGATGTACCAACTTTTGTGTTTGGGGATCGTAAAACTCATCAAAGTTCCGATTTATCTGATCCGGTCCTGGCAAAGTCTCGGTAAATATAGATACCTTACAATTTAGACATTTAAATATAAAATTTAATGAAAAATTAATAACCTGAAGGAAAGCAATAAGCAGATACGAAAAGAGACTGGTTTTTGCGAAGTACTCCATCGAAAAAGCTTATTTAATGCATCAGATTGGAGTCGCACACCTTCAATCGAATCGTTTTGACGAGTGTTGTTTTGCGGCCCGCAAAGGAATACAAGGTTAGCAAAATCAAATAAAATCTAAACATATTATTACAAAATGCTATTTGTTACAGAGGCAGAACTTTGCAATAACAATGTATGGCGTTTTCTGTGCGTCTTACTCATAATAAAAGCGAATGCCGCCCTCCATAAAATTGAACGGACAAGGGAGTCTTTGGATAGTGCCATTAAGATTGCAGAGCGACTAGGATCCGGTCAACTCATGAAGTATCTCTACAGCTGTGTCAACTGCAATGAGGAAGAGTTTGTAGTCAAGAAACAAAGCATGAGTGCCTCCGCCAGTCGTCGTGACAGTAAAGTATCCACGCATAGCTTTGGTTCTGAAGTAGCATCGGCAAGAAAAAGTGCAATCCCAAGGGAGTAGGATGTTTTCTAAGATTTTCACCTTAACAATTTTCTTTTTGAACCTAAAATTCTCAGTGATAGCTTTGGTTGTATCCAATAATCGCAATAAATTTCTAGTGCAATCTATAAATCTGAAATCTTAAAAGCAAACAAAAAACTACAAACTGTTACAAATTTCCAGCTTCAGTAGTTTTTTTTAAGCAAAACTGGAAACATGAAACTTATTTCCGTTTATTTTGTGGCTCCTATAACAGACAACAGTTTGGTTAGTGACTATGTTAACATTATGAAGAAGTCTTCTCCACCAATTTCGCCATCATCTTCTCCTCCTTGGCCTTTCGCTTGGCTTCTTTTTGTTTCTTCTTATCCTCCTTCTCTTTTTGTTCAAGCATTTCCTTAAACCGCTCGTCCCGGGTGTCCACTTTGAAACCGAAATGCCGGCGAACCTCTTCAACCAGACGCTCCTTACGTGCTATCGCCGCCGCAGCATCGGCCTCTCGTTTGGCGATCTTCGCATGCAAGTCAGCCTTCCACTGCTGCAGCTTCTCCATCTTCTTGGCAATGTCATCTTCGCGGTTTTGGATCTTCTGCTGTTCTTCCGCCTTCTGTGCCCGGTTCTTTTCAAGCATTTTCAAAAGTGTGTCTAGTTGCATAACTTGCTCTCTTGGGTCTTTGGCTGAATCGAAGCAGATTTTGGGATTTACTTTACTCTTGGCCCCATAGCGTCCGTAAGCCTGTCGCTGGTATTTCTCCGTCAAGTGAATCCATGAGTGCGGTTCATCATACGGCAAAGTGTTAAGGAGCACATTTTTGTGCTGCGGGAGCAGGCCGGAGCGGTCCACAGCATTAGGGTACGTTTCCTCCGGTTCGTTGTTGATCATGGAGGCGGGCAGCTCTGCGTTGGCAGCACTTGAATAAGGAAAACATGTCCGTAGGCCGGGTAGTCTTGTCACAGCGTTAATTTTGCGCAAATTCATTTTGTAATCAAAATAAATAAATGTTGATAATATATTAGTGCTGTGGTAACAAAAGTATCGAAATATCGATATTCTTTATATAAAAATGGTATATTTCGATTTTTACATACTAAGTTTTAAATACTACATTGTCTATCGATACCTATTGCTAGATACTTTTTAATCGAAATATTGTAGTGCAAATAAGGCCTAGTCTAAGCAAATCCAAACGCGCGGATTCATTTTTAAATGTTTCTTTTTTACTAAAATAAGCAATTTAATTGTTTAGCTAAGCTAATTTTACAATGACGGGCCACGGGGACTTAAGCCCCGAGAAGCTGGTTGGCCGCATTCATTCAGTTTACTGCAAAGACTTCGTGTAAGGTGTTCACAAGAAATATTTCAAGACGCAAATTACTAAAAAGCGTTCTTTGCATTTTTGCAGCTCCTACAGCGAGATAACATTCCACCCGAAGCATTATCTAAACGTTCTGACTGGTCCAAATGGCAGTGGGAAGTCCACTATTGTCTCGGCCATTATCCTGGGTCTGGGAGGCGACCCGAATCTGTTGGACCGGTCCTCCAGCGTTTCGGATTACATTCAAAGCAACAAAACTTCTGCTACAATCATTGTCAGAGTTTACGGAAAGGAACCTGAAACAACAGAGGCATTCCGGAGGATTATCAATTCAAATGGAACTTCTGTTTACTCTGTCAATAATAAAAATACGACCAAGAGTAACTTTTTGGCCGTTGTGGCTTCTTACAATATACAAGTCAGCAACTTGTGCCAGTTTTTGCCCCAAGATCGTGTTCAGGTAGACATAAATCTAAAAATGTATAATTATCTTGGTAAAACAATTTCAAAATTTCAGGATTTTTCAAAAATGAATCCCCAAGAACTGCTGCTAAACACTATGTCTTCCGTGTGCGATGACGAACTTACCCAAGGTTTCAATTCATTAAAAGAGATGCGCGCAAGCCAGGCGACCGTCAACATTGACCGCGATAAGGGGAAAAATGATCTTCAGAAAAAGCAGAAACGTTTGGAACAGTAAGAACCATTTATAAATGAGATTCCTTAAACTAATTTTATTTTTGTAGGATGCAACAGTGTGTGGAGCAGTATAAGGAGCGCCAGGAAATCCAGCAAAAGCTTAATATATCTAATGTCAAGAAATTGTGGATGGAGACACAAGCTGGAGAAGAAAAGGCCAAGAATTTCAAAGACTTGGTTGACAACGCCAAAGCTACCTACGACGAGATAAAGGTGCGATACGATTCCAAAGTTCGGGCTCAGGAGCAAATTCAGAAAAAAAAGATGGAGCTTCAAGAAGATGTGCTCAAAAAGGTAATTTTCAACGGAAATTGAAAATCGTTTCTGACAACTTTTCTTTTTAGACTCAACAATTGAATAAAGCTCAGGAACAAAACAAATTTTTGGAGAAGGAAAGAGATTCCAAAATGCAAAAAGTCCGTGAAAGTCAAGTCGTACTACAGGTTTGTAAAAAAATTCTGCCAATTAACAAAAAAAATTATAATACATTTTGTAAATTTTTAGCAAAATATACAAAGATCCGTAAGAAGCGGCGAAGAAGCCAACAAATTACAAAAATTAGTGGATAACAAAAAAGCGGAGCTAGAAAACTTTAATACAAACAAGGCCTCAGTTATATCCGAACTTCAAAAAATAAGAGAATCATTGGACTCGGCTCGAAATCAAGCTATGAGACAGTATAATAAACGAAAAGAAATCGAAATGAGATTGAACGATGTAAACATTCCGGAAGTCGCAGCTCATAAACATCGGATGAATAGACTGGAAAATGTAAAAATACAAAAACTTGAAGAAATCAGTCGAAGAACTCCAAATCTAGCCAAGGCCATGAATTGGGTAGCCCAAAATAAGCAAAGATACAAATGCAACGTCTATGATCCAATGATATTTGAGGTAAGTTTTGTTATTAATTGATTTGACAAATGAAAATCCTTAAATTAACTTTCAGCTTTCCATGCAAAATAATGATGCTTCAAAATATCTTGAAAATGTTGTAAATGCGCGGGATTTGATGGCATTTTCTTGTGAGGATAAGCAGGATATGTCTGATTTGATTAATGAGCTTTGCGTTAAGCAAAAATTGGGGGTCAACGTTATATATTGTAACCCATCCACTCAATGCATGTATACTCCAAAAATTCCTATAAGCGAGCTGCGGTACGTAATTTGTATAAAATAAGAAACGAAAGCTATCTTCGGGCGGAGCGGAACTGATATACCCTTGCGGTTAAGATTGTTTTATTTTATTTATTTGATTTTGATTTTTTTATTTTTCCGATTGTTTAGTTATATGAAAGATATAAGAATATAGTCCCCTATATGGCCCTCAGTGATGGCTATATCTTTCCCAACTCTCATCCGATTCTCAAGCGGAGTACCTTAAACGATTTCTAGATCGATTCTCCACCATTCTGCATCAAAACCCTGAGACAAAATATTTTTTAGATTTTTTGTCCATTTTTCCTGATGGGATCCCTTTAAAATGGGGTTTTCCCCTATAGGGTCCACAGTGATGGCTGTATCTTTCCCAATTCTCATCCGATTGTCAAGCGGAGTACCTTAAACGATTTCTAGATCGATTCTCCACCATTCTGCATCAAAACCCTGAGACAAAATATTTTTTAGATTTTTTGTCCATTTTTCCTGATGGGATCCCTTTAAAATGGGGTTTTCCCCTATAGGGTCCACAGTTATGGCTGTATCTTTCCCAATTCTCATTCGATTCTCAAGCGGAGTACCTTAAACGATTTCTAGATCGATTCTCCACCATTCTGCATCAAAACCATGAGGCAAAATATTTTTTAGATTTTTTGTCCATTTTTCCTGATGGGATCCCTTGAAAATGGGTTTTTCCCCTATAGGGTCCACAGTGATGGCTGTATCTTTCCCAATTCTCATCCAATTCTCACGCGGAGTACCTTAAACGAGTTCTAGATCGATTCCCCACCATTCTGCATCAAAACCCTGAGGCAAAATATTTTTTAGATTTTTTGTCCATTTTTCCTGATGAGATCCCTTGAAAATGGGTTTTTCCCCTATAGGGTCCACAGTGATGGCTGTATCTTTCCCAATTCTCATCCGATTCTCAAGCGGAGTACCTTAAACGATTTCTAGATCGATTCTTCACCATTCTGCATCAAAACCCTGAGACAACATATTTTTTAAATTTTTTGTCCATTTTTCCTGATGATCCCATGAAAATGGGGTTTTTCTATAGGAACCATGTGAAAGTTGGTATGTCATATAACATTGCCGAAAATAGAATCCATAAAAGATCCGAAATGAAGACTCTTTAACTGTAAAAATACCGAAGCTATGGCATAACGTTCCTACTTATATACTGCGTGGAGAGGAAAAAAGGGTGAATGCAAAGTTTTAGGTCGATAGCTTTAACTAGTTTAGTTCGCGTAGAAACATACTTAAGATGGTATATGAAAACAGATGGACAAGCTTATATCAACTCAGGAGGTGATCCTAACCAACTATATAGATACTATAATTATGGGTAGTATGCAAGGGTATAAACATTTAAACATTAGGATTTCATTGAAAATATTCTCTGAGCAGGTCGTTGGGCTTTCACTCCTATCTTGTGGAACTTGTTACTGGACCATTTCCTATTATTAACAAATTGTGCGCAGCCTACGGCATTCAAAACATTCCGATCGGCTCAGATGCGGTTGGTAATAACACATCGTCGATTCCGAAGGGGATTAAAATCTATTTTGGAGGTACGATTTACATTTGCTTCTTACAAAATGTAATATATTATAATCATTACTTTTTTAAGGGGATAAACGTTATTCGGTAACTACATCCCGGTATCGCTCAGATTGTATACTAACGGAAAGCGTAATCCGAGGAAAAAATCTACTTATCGCAGTAGATGCTCAACAATTGGCAACGGTGCGAAAATTGCATTCTCAAGCCGTTAAGGAAGGTGACAAACTCAAGAATGCCATGACTATGGCCGATAATGAGTTCGAGCGTATTCAGATAGTTATAAAGGATGAGCAGGAAAAAAAGAAGAAATTAGATCAAAAGGTTTCGTATTTTAATAATCTTAGAAGCGAAGTTGAAACCCTTATGGAAAAACTAAACAGTCTCAGAAAAACCGATGGTATGTACACAAATATCTCACAAGACAGATTTCCTAAAAATGTAAACTTTTCTAGCATTGGATGCCATCAAGTCAAATCATTATAATAAACTGGAAAATGAGATGGAAAAAATAGAAGCCGATGAATCTAAATTATTTATTAACTCTGAAGAACTAAAAAAATGTACGGTTGCAAAAAAGGCGTCGCAAACAGTATTATCTATGTATACGGTGCAGAATGCGAGCCAAGCAGAAGCACTCAAGGAACTTGAGCATGAGACTCAAGAGACAAACGTAAGGTTATCCATATACAGATTAATAGAAGATCGTCATATCATTTTTAATTTATAGAGAATGTATAAGAAATTATTAGATAACCTGCGTCGTCAATTGGAAGATGTTAATAGCCGAAAAGAAGAAATACAGCGAAATTGTAACGGCGAGCTTCCAACTAGCTCAAAATTCCCCTTTAAAAAGGAGTTTAAAAATATGAGTGCATTGAGCTTGGACCAAGTTCGCGAATCCATTCACGATTTAGAGGCTAGACTGGAATGCATGAAAAACGTCAATTCGGAGGTAAACTTTATTTATAGAAATTCAATAAAAGTGTTGTTTTTAAAACTTGTTCAATTTGCAGGCCCTCTTGGTCTATCATGAGCTAGAAAACGAAGTTAAAAGGCTTCAAGACTCTATTATGAGATCTTCAAACGAAGAGAAGACAATCGAGTCTAATATGTCAAGACTATTCGAAAAATGGGAACCGAAATTAAATGGCCTTGTGGAAACGATCAGTGCCAAGTTCAGCGAATTTATGGAATCAATCGAATACATTGGTGAAGTTGTGTTATCTAGGGCAGATAAAGTAAGTTTTAAATAGATCAATTTACTGTTAAACTTTCTTGTTAATGCTAATTTATATTTTGTAGTATGACTTTGATTCATACGGAATCCAGATAATGGTCCAGTTTAGAAAAGGTGCCCAGCTACAACCGTTGGACAAATTCATTCAATCAGGTGGCGAACGGGCGGTGTCCATTGCCATATACTCTTTATCATTACAACATGTTACTCATGTGCCATTCAGGTAAAGTTAAACTTTTTCATTGAGTTTAGTTTGTGGTATTAATTTATTATTTTCATCAGATGTGTTGACGAAATAAACCAAGGTATGGATGCTACAAATGAGCGACATATATTCGATTTACTCCTCAGAGAAGCTACAAAACATGGATCAGCTCAGTATTTGTTTGTTACTCCAAAGGTATTACTATATGTTATTTATAATATCATCATTATTATTGATTTTACTTTCTTGCAGTTACTGCGAGATCTAAACTACAATGAGCATTTGTGTGTGTCCATCGTTCACAACTCAAAAACAGTGACAAGTGGTACAAAGTTTCCAACGATTTAATGTTTTATGGAAGCTTTTGCTTTGTACGAGAACTTGTTTTCCCCCCACTTATGTTTACGTTTGTCTAACTAATAAAAGAAATAAATATTTTTTGTTGAGAATCCTTTGAATTATCTATTCATTAAAAATTTGGTGTATTTTTTAATAAAGTTGGAAAAGTTTTACATATTTTTCTTCACTTATAGGAAAAATGTAAACAAGGACTTTCAATTTATTTTACTTGGCCAAAATGTAAGCTTTTGATGCACATTTTAGCGAATATTTTTACTATATCGCAACCGATTTCTACACAGATTTCTATGATCGGGAAGGTATTACTTTTATGAATCTGCCACTTATTAGTGGAAGTTATACAAATATTTCTTTTTGAAAATTCCCATTACTTAAGCTTGCAAAAAATAGTTCAAGTTACCTCTTAACACAGTCTGAAGAGTAGTTGTTGATATGCTGAATTACTTAATTATTATCTGAATTACGAAATTACTCTAAAGACTGTCAATCTCGTAACATAAAAACTGGCACCAAAGTCGAAAACTCAATGGAGCCTGACGTATTGCTTTCTCAAGTAACTAGTAGTCCTCGTTTTAAAACCCTACAAAGTCAAGTCTATCGTATTACACTGTTTGTTTTTTGAATATTTTATTACATTATGTATTATGATATTGTTTATTTATTCTCGGCTACTATAAAAGATCATGTTTTTTCGAAAGGCTTGATCAGTTTGATTTAAATCTTGAACAATGAAGTATCGAATCCAAATCTGTGTGTGCCCCCATTATGGTTGGGATTTTTTAGATCAGCAGTTATTGCTATATTGCCATATTCATATATCTTCTACTGGCCTACTAAGTCCCAACATAATGAGAGTAAAAACCACTAGTTATGATAATTATGGAAATTTAAGTGAATAGTGTATTAAATATCCGATGTATATAAAATAATACAAGCTGTTATATTTGGGAAAGTAACAACCAAATTATAAACAATTTGTTGTATTTGTAAAGCTGTAAGATTTTTAAACTTATGGATTGTGAATTAAAGTTCAATGTGTGAATAATTAATAAATAAAACAGTAAACATGATTTATAAATATACGTATTTTCTTTCAATTTGAATATGTTTTAGAAATGTACACATTTATCGGACTTATCGAAATTATTGGTAAAATTCTACTTTAAATACCTGGTCACACTGTTCTGGTTGTCGAATCGAAAATCAACATCCCCTCATTTAATTGAAAAATTTTTGCATTTGCTGAGAAAATATGAATTTAAAACCCGTGTTTGCGATCATATTCCTGCTGGGCCTTGTGGCCGGCGGTTGGGTAAGTGATTATGATTTATTCTAGCATATTGAGCTAATGGGTTTTTATGCAGGGCTTTTTGGAGCATGACAGTTGGATTACTATTGAATTGCAACATTCTCTGGGTTCTACATCGAATAGCTTCTCTTTCCGAGGAAATGTCACTATTCCCAGTCTGAACTCCGGTTTGGCCAACGTCGCCCAGCCACCTTTGACCGATCAGGAGCTTGAGCAGTTGAAGGTAAACTTATCATTTGGGTTGCACCCATGAACCCAACCGGCGAACAACAACTAACCAAAAAGTTGTCTCGACATAAGACATACCCTGTTCGGGCACATAATTATTATTTTTTTCTTTATTTTAGACACTTGCCCGTCAGAATGAGTTTTACCGCCTTAAGGCCACTGTTTTATACTCAAATGGTGCCAAGTCAAACTTCATAACATCCAACAAGGCTTGCCGCCTCCTGCAGGCTCAACTGAGGGATGTTCTTTGGATCTCGTTGGATCCCTCTGGCTTTGTTACAGGAATTACTGCTTCCCAGGACACACCCACTGGAACAATTGAGTGCAAACAGGAAGACATTAATCAATTGGACGAGACACAGTTCAGCACCGATGTCCTGATCCGTCACGCCGAGCTAGCCCCTGTTCCAGATACTGCAAGCTTTATCCAGAAGGTGGAGAGGGAGCGCGAAGCCAGAGAACGTGGTGAAGTTCGCGATAACCGTGGCTTCTTTGCCAAATACGTAAGTTCCAGTGCTTCAACAAGTTCTAATTATTATTTTAATACTTTCAAATATATTCTTCTTTATAGTGGATGTACATTGTCCCTGTAGTGCTGTTGGTCTTCATTTCTGGAGCTACAAATCAAGAGGGTGCTAAATAGAATTATATTCGTTAGTTTGATATACACTTTTGTTTGTTAACATTTCCTAAATAAAATTCCTAGACAATTCTGGATTTACCAAGTCATAGCAATAAAAGAGTAAATTGTATAAGTGTATTGATATAAAAAGAAAGTATCGTTGTAAAATAATTTGTGCCTTTTTTTTGTGTTTGTGGCTAAAAACAAATATCAAGCCAAAAATATATGAAAAGGAAAATAAATCTTACCTATGCTGTTCTTGAAATTGGTGGGAAAGTTATTACCGAAATATTTGGAAGACTGGTTTCAGAGACTTTTTCAGAATCTGTCCGATATATGGAAAATTATTTAATAAATTTTGAACTGATTATTATATTTAAAATTTTCCTATTGAAAATGATTACCCATAATTGTGAAAAGCTTACCCTTTACTCATAAAATTTCCAATAGACAAGATAATATTTATTTAACAACAATTGAAAAAAAGCAAATGCATTGTTAAGGAGTTCTTCATGCAAACGTATTAATCCATCTGAAAGTGTAAACCGTAATTAAAACGTTTTCATGCCGCAAGTGGCACAAGGGGCAAAGCTAGCCGCAGCCAGAGCCGTCGCCGTTGAGAATTGTGAATTACACGGTCGCTTAACCACGGACCACCCCGAAATTGACTCGAGTGCGATGCGTGCCGAGTGGTTGCAACACAAATTTGTAATTACAATTTCCTGGCGCTTTCCCGCCACAGCGAAGGTTGTTTAGTGGGACTCCCCCCAAAGACTACATGCGATTGCTAAAAAACAATTTTCACAAAGTTGGAAATGCAGTGCGGTGAGGGATACGTGACAATTTGCCGATACCCAAATTTCTCCATCGTTCAGGAACGCCCTCCGTGGCGTAAAAAACACCAAATTGCCCGTGGGCTCTGCTGTTTTTTTTGTCCTACCCACAGGTCGAGCCAACATGTGGTAACCCATAATTTACGCCTAGGGATGTTATAATTTTGATTATATCAAGGACATTATGGATAGTTTTTAATGAGGCGCAAAAATGCATACTTATATTTCTTATTCGAATTGGCTTTGTTAGGGAAAGATGTTCATATTTTTGGAATCATTTAAGGACTCTACACTATATGAACTTGAAGTGTTAAATAATTCTTAAAAAATTGAAACGAGTTGAAAAGTCTTGAACCCTATAATTTTCCCGATCTTTATCATCTTGGAATCAGTTTGATACAAATCTGCCTTTTGGAACACTTAATGGTTAGTCTTGTCATCTAGATAATCCCAAATATTGTGACAGTAATATTGACATAAAGTGTAAATGTAAATTGTATTTTTTTGTATGTTCTAATCCGTTACCCTTTTTCGTTTAAATTTAAATTAGCTATTTGTCAAACAAGGCGCACTGAAGGATAACAAAGCATTTTTAAATTCGAGAACATAAATTGTCAGATCAAAAAACAGCATCGGAAAGCAGCCATCTGTCAAAATTCTCGTCATTCCACACAATCTGTCAACTCTTCTGTCACATTTAGCCCGTGAAAATGTATACAAACAAAAAATTCTCCACATGCAGGATATACACATAATTATATAGGGCCTAATAAGGGCCATGTTTGCATCCCGGTGCACTTGTCAAGTGTTGGCATACCAACTCGACCAAGCCGGTCATTAAAATATTCATTTTTAGCCTTTCAGCGCGAGGCACATCGATGTTTAAATTAGCTGCCACCCCCACGGGCTATAATCGGGTGGAAAGAGGGTTGCGGATGCGGATACGAATGTGGATCGGTCTGCCAGTTGCAATCACTTAAATTGTTCGGTTAATGTGTTACCTTTGGCCCACATTTAAACTTGAAGCGACCACAGAGAAGGGGTGTTGTCACTCAGAGCGGTAATAGCTCTATTACACCCCCAATTAGTTTAAACAGACACGAGGTGGTATTCAATAAATACGAACTTAGGGGTGGGAATATATATTGAGGGCATTTTAAGGTACTTTAAATAATCTTGGTATTACATATATTTAGTTTTTAAATTGAAAAGTTGGATAATCTGGTTGTCGTTTTGTAAAACTGTCATTAGAGTTATTAAAAAAAGGTTATAGGAGAAAAGGATACCAGAGTTCTTAAAAAATTTTAACCTTTTGATTACATTGCTTTTATTGTAGTTCTCTCTATAAAATCCCAAGAAAAGGGTATTCTTCTGAATATTTTTCCACAGAAGAAGCCGAAGCCCCATCAAGACATTTTTATTTTAAACCCAATAAAAAGATTCCTTAAATTGCAATACAAACAAGCCAATCAAGGACAATAAGATACACGTGATCTACTGAAACGGAAATGCATCTTACATAAGTATATCCAATCGCTGAAAAATACCCATATCGTTTACAGAACATCCAGAAGGATATCTCCCTTTTTTTGAGTGAGAAAAAATCCAGTACAAGGACTTGAAGAATTCATTATGTGCCTTTGTATAAACAAATGGTATTTAGTTTTGGTTTGGGTTTGAGTTTGGGTTTATGAGATGGAGAGTACTTGTGCAAATATGTGCCCACGCAGATGCACTCATGGGCATTAAATTTGTAACAAGTTAGCAGCTGGCGCCAATTCATATGCCGCCGTGTCGAGTGATTAAACAATCGCATTGATACATCCCATCATCCAGTGCTGATTCCAATTCACACAATCCCAATTGAATTTCGGATTGACAGGTTCATAAACGGTATTGTTCGCGATGTTTGTATTTGAATTTCATGCCCGAATACAATTGCTCTTTTTCCGCCCAGGATCGGACAAAAGACGGCCCAGAGGCTTATGCACTTGGGTGAATTTATAGGGATCTGGTCATGGGAAAGCCAATTGCCCGGATTGTGTCCGGGTTGTTCGGTTCTGGGTTGGGTAAGCCGGGGAGGGTGTGGGTGTGGGTGTGCGGTTCATTATCATAGAGATAATCCCATTAGAAAACGTTGCGGCAAGTGCTAGTTTAATATTCAAACAGAAACCTTCGGGGAGGGATATGCAATTAATAAATGCATATGTGGCTTTGCACATGACAAAATATGAGACGGGTTCTAATATTCATTTATTAACGTCTCACTCAAGTGTATACGATATCTATAATCCTAATCCAGTTTGCAAGAAAAATGGCTGTCATTAATCTATAAAAAAATAATACCACAAAGCTAAAGCAATGCAATAAAAATCTGAAATTCCTTTTTAGATTTCTAAAAAAATATTTATTCAGTTTATTCTCTGATTGCGGGGCATACACTCTGTGGGTCGAATTGAATTTCAAATGAGCCTGGCAGTGAACATATTGATTGAATACATAATAAATTTTAAAGTTCAAAGGATGTTCGATTTGAGAGAGTCGAATACCTTTGATAGACAGTCCTTTAAAGGCCTTTGTTAACAACTGAAAGCGATTAAAATAAATGACGTTAAAGTGGCCGAAATTGGTCGGTGTAATAAGAATACTTTGCTTACTTTTAAATGACTTAAAAATTCCATAAAACGCTTGCACATAAATCTGTAAAATTCCCCAATACTTTGTATACAATATTCCAAATCACTTTAACTGCTGGTAATCGGCGCATAATCTTCGAAAATTTGCATGCACTACCCTCGGAGAGACGGTATTTGAGATCCTTATCGTGCACATTATTCACGTCACGTCTGAAGTATTCAAAGCATAGTCAAAACTGCCCATCAATTTCGCCCTCAGTCTGACACGCCTCCTTCCAAAAAATATATACGTACATATACGTACATGTATATTTTAAACAAGAATATTAGAATATTCAGGGTCCTGCTACTAAATTACCTTGGCGTTGACGGCTTGTTGTGGGTGTCATGACCGACTGGCCGGCTTGTCCCGTGTCCTGGAGGAGGCTGCACTCTGAAGGGGGAGCACTGTGGATCGTTGTGGCAATTATAGTCGGTTGGGAGCTTCGATATGTCGCAACATATGCCCGCCGCCCATCAAAGGCTGCCTCCCGATGTTCCGTTCCTCCCCTTCCTACAGAATCGACGCTCATTTGAGGCGGCTGCAAACTCCGTCCAGGTCGTACATGATCGCCTCGGGCCAGGCTGCATGGCTGCAGTATCCACCATCCACTATCCTGGACCATCCCAGTACCCAGCACCCAGTACTCGGTCTATACAGCATCCAGCATAGGCGTTGCGTCTGGCACGGGCTAGTGGCCATAATTCTCGGTACACGACCGAAGACTTCAGACTGCAGAAGGAAGGGCTGCTGCAGCGGCATCTTAAGCATCCGATCTGATCGGCAAAAACACGTCAGGCATCTCTGGCGCATTCCAAGAATGCGGCCCTCTAATGTTGGTCAAATGGCACTAGTTGCCAATTTTGTAATTTTTCATAAAAATAACGATACTGTCTGGAGAGCAGAATGCTAAGCTTATCCGGGTATCTTCATTAATTTCTAGTTGAATAAATTAGGAGTTAAAATAAAATAAGCTTTAAATAAGCAACTAGATATTAAATATATTTAATAAAACAACATACTGCCATCTTGTGAGTTCTTTATTAAATGCCTGAACAATAACATATTCAATGACGAAAGCATGATAATGAGCTGATCATCGACTGTTGTGATTTGATAAGTGCGAGTTCTATCGGCGGCTTGTGGACTGATTCTTGGCACAACCACAACCAACCACCATACAAACACTGAGCCACCGAACCACCGAGCCATGGACCATAACGACACAGGTCGTCAAAAGTTGGGGCGGGGAACTGGCAGTGCAAGATCGGAGGCGATGCCGGCTCCAAAGCTCGAGCACTGGAGCGATTGCAGATTTTGTTACGAAGGTTAATATAAAGCAGAGAACAAGGAGAGCAACCCGTGTCAAAACTGAAAGAATGATGAAAAAATCATACATCCAGGGTGATTTGCAAATACTCTATGAGAATAGTTCTAACAAGTTGTTAACTTTATTTAAAAAGATTTATTAAAAAATATTTTACAAAACCCCCTCAAAAGACAAAAGGCCAGTGACGAAAGCACTTCGAACTCCCCAAAAGGGCACATCTGCGTTTTTAATGGCAAAAGAAAATATCATTTAACTTTTTAACAAGCATTAAGCTTTCCTTTAAGAT